GCGGCAGACCTCTCCTGTTTCTCCTGCTACTCCCATCAGCAATATACCCTGTCAATCTTCCTTTTCTGCTCCCCACTCTGTCTCTGGTGAATCCTCTTACCTCTCCTGCACCTCTGGCCTGTACCCCAGTTATTATGTGCATAAATAAATATGGGGAAAAATCTTATATGTATAAATAAATATGAAGGTCAACCTAGTTCTTTTTGGTAGTCAGTAAAATATGAACAGTATCTAACAGCTGTGCTGACAGCTAGACTTGCTACCTCTTAAGAAATGTAAGGAATCCAGTAAGGACAGGTAGGAAATAGATGAGCACTGGACTTCTACAGAGACCTCTATTGTCTAGTATTTTGCAGCTTAGTGTTTTAGAAGTTATTGTTTGAGGCGTGCTTTCCCCCCCCCAATTAGTTTTCAATAATTATTCTTTATTTAAAGAATCCTGCTTCTGGCAAAATAGCATTGTTTTGTTGTGAAAGGTCTTAAAAATAATTTCCACATGTAAAAGTTCCAAATCAATACAAGGAAGCTGTCAATGCTAAGGTTCTGCACATAGAAATTTTTTTCTGCTGTTCATTTTTCTGTGCTGTTATCAGCTCACTAATGGAACTAAAAGTAAAACTAATTTGACTTTGGTGCAGTTTCTACTTTTTTTTAAGATTTATTTATTTATGCACAGAACTGGGGTGCAGGCCAGAGGTATAGGGGCGGTGAAAGGATTCACCAGAGACAGAGTGGAGAGTAGAACAGGCAGATCGAAGATGTACATTGCTGAGAGAAGCAGAGGCCAGATCAGGAGAGGTCTGCCGCGCCGTATGGGTCAGCTCCCTGGTGGGGGATTGAACTCGTGTTGCAGTGGCTTTGGAGAGCTTCATAATGCGGTGCTTTAACTCGTTGTGCTACCAGGAGAGCCTGCACTCTTCATCAACTAGGTTTGAATTTAATACAGTTCCCCCTTGGTGGGGGAGAGAGCAGTACTTGGTTCCAGGTCCTCACCCAAGAGATGCCAGTATCCAGAGATACTACTCTGGTGTATAGAATGGTGCAGTATTTCATATAATATATGAGCATACTCCCACATATTTTAAATCAGCTTCCAATTACTTGAATGACTAATAATGCAGTGTAACTGCTGTATGGTTTTAATGTATATTGTTCAGGGAAGAATGACAAGAAAAGTGTGAGCATGTTCAGTACAGACCTCACCAACAATAGCACGGATTTTGGATCGGTAGTTGGTGGAATCCTCAGATGCGGAACTTGTGGATGCAGCCAGTCACTGGTTTGACTGCACTCTGATGCCCTGCGGATTTAAGGAGTCTTAGACTTTGAACATCAGTCTCCCAATTTCTGGCTGCTTTACTGTGTCAGCTGTAATTAAAAGATATTTCAAAGTTTTTTTCTGATTTAATCTTTTAACTTTTTTTTTTAGCATCCACAATGAACTTACTTCAGATGGTACGGGACCACTGGGTACATGTCCTTGTACCAATGGGGTTCGTCCTTGGATGTTATCTGGACAGAAAGAATGATGAAAAGCTAACTGCCTTCCGGAATAAGAGTATGCTATTTAAAAGGTTAGTGTGCACTTTTTTAAATCTGGCCAACATATTATCATATGTGGGTTAAAAATAAATAGAAGAGGTAATTTTACCGCCTTGAGGACTAAGATTTAAATGGTGTGATTTTGTAGTCTTGTTTAATCCTTTGACAGAAGTGGATGATTCTCTTTGGAATGTAAATGAGTCAATTTATTAAGAGGCTGTTTCCAATCTTTGAAGTCCCTTTTTTATTTCTTTATTAAATTCAGGGTGCATTTTAATACAGAAAGACAGTTTTAACCTGTTCCCTAAGACCTACTCTATAAACCTTATTACCTTATTTTCACATTATTACCATGTCCTGCCTCACCCAAATCTTACAGTAGCTGAAATAAATGGGACATGATGGCTTGTGCCATGTTCCCAGTGAACATGACTTTGAACATGGTGACTGAGGGACCAGGTGGCAGCTGCGTGGTCCCACTGTGTCTCTGGGGACGGCTCCTTGCACACAGAGAGGGTTAGCAAGACACTGTCAGCCCCTGGGCATGCCCTTGGGTGGAAGAAAGGGCAAGGGTGAGGGACAATTCTCAGGGAACTCCAGGGCAATAAAAAGAACTGGAAAGAGTCTAGAAGACAGATGAACTCATAGAAGCACTTTTGTATAAAGATGGACAGAGAAACTACGGTTCTTCAGTCTGGAAAAATGAAATTGAAGAGATGGTAGAAGTGTAAAATCATGTGAAAATGAATATATTGAATCTAAAATAAAAAACGTTAAATGAGTAGAATATAAAATACTGAATTCCTATTCTGCTGTTTCACTTACGCTTTTTCTTTCCTTTGGTTTCCTTTCCACAATTCCACACAGGGAATTGAGACCCAATGAAGAAGTCACCTGGAAGTAGAAGCTGTGGCTGAGATACAGGATGTTCTCATCATAAAAATTATGAGAGAAATAAAGGCATTATTTACCGTGAAGAATTTGAAGCGTGACTCTCTTTATGATGAAATAATCTTTCACATTTTTTTTTTAAAGATTTATTTATTTATTCATACAGAACTAGGGTACAGGCCAGAGATGCGGAGGGTAAGAGGATTCACCAGGGACAGCGTGGGGAGCAGAACAGGCAGATCGACGAAGTACACTGCTGAGGAGAGCAGCGAGCAGGTCAGGAGAGGTCTGGCGCGCCATGTGGATCTCCTCCGGGGCAGGCGGGGATCGAACTCATGCGGAAGTGGCTTAAGCTTCTTAGTGCTGGGCTTTAACTCGCTGAGCCACCAGGGAGGGCCATCTTTCACATTTTAAGTAACAGGTATACTTGGCTTAAAGGTAACTGTTGTGTACCTGATGTTCCCTGATTTTCAATAACATCCTAAATTAAAAATACCTACGTTGGAAATGCTGGCTGCGAGCTGCAGCTCTGCTGCCGGCATCCTGGAGTGGCCCTACCACATTTCTACTGAATATGTCTTCCTGTCACCATCACAAAGACCCACTGCAGACATCTTAAGTTGGGAAGAGCTTTACTATTCAACAATAACAAGGAATAATCTACTTAGAAAACATGGGTGAATTTCAAATTAGCATACAAGAATAATTAAACAGAGTACATACTATATGATTCCATTCACATGAAACCTGAAACTAATCTCTAATGACAAAACAAACAAGTGGTTTCTGGGTAGCAGGCTCCAGAATGAGGAAACAGCTGGAGAACCTTGAGGGCAAACTTGATTCTCTCTACAAGAAACAACATATCTAGGCCGCCATAAGAGCCTCCACAGTATCTTGAGCCACTGAAAGGTGGTGGGGGAGGAAAGGGGTCAGGGGTCATGGACATCTCTCAGTGCTGCTTTCTTCACTTCAAAGCCTTTGTTTGACTTTGGGCTTAGAAGGAATGGGAGCTTCTTTTGCTATTAGGACCATCTTTGTGAAAGATGATCTTTTACATTAGGTTCTTTGTTATAAATTACCTGCTCATAGGGACAGAAAGGTGAATGAAATGATTACTGTGAACAGTACTGAATGTTGCCAAAAACTGTTTTAAGTGGTAAGGATTCACACAGAACAAAAAATACAGTCCTTGGGGGTCAGCAGTTCACTGTAGAGAGTTGAATCAGGTCCTTCCAAATTCAAGACGCCGCAGAACCAAAGACTTTGTTAGGAAATTGGACGTTGGCCACTGTAACTGTTAAAGGGCTCCACACAAACCCCCCTGCTTAGAATGGGACTTAAATGCAGTGACAGGTATCTTAAAAGAAGAGTGGCCATAGACACAGCAGGAAGAAGGCCACATGAAGACAAAGGAGGCTGAAATTACAGTC